CTTCCAACAGCTCAAGACGGCGCTCATTAAATCACCTGTACTTTCTTCTCCTGATCCAACTAAACACTTTCTCGCCCATACAGACGCTTCTATGCTTGGATTGGGAGCAGTATTGAGCCAAGTCGGAGCAGATGGTGGCTAGCAACCCGGGGCTTATCTAAGCCGTAAACTTTTGCACAGCGAAGTATATTCACTGCCATTGAAAGGAGTGCATAGCGGTGGTGTGGGCCCTCATAAAGCTGCAACCTTACTTGTATGGACAACCGTTTACCTTACTCACAGATCACAACAAATTTGGGGCACTGCGCGTGCAATCTAATGTGCCACCAGATAGGAGTGGTGTGTTTAGTACCATTGTTATCAGTTTAATCACTGTTACGTCCCCTATCCGTTGATGTGGAGCAAGACGCAGCAGCAGAAGAGGACTCAGCCGAGGAGGTTATGGAAGAGGATGGAGTAGGAGGAGTAGAGGAGGTGGCAGCAGGCCTGCCTGCAAGTTGTGGTGGTGTCACCAACTCCTCTGCAGAGCCACGCATTCCATGCTTGGCAGCCGTCAGCAGGTTTGCCCAATGCGCAGTGTAGGTGATATACCTGCCCTGACCATGCTTTACAGACCAGGTATCAGTGGTCAGATGGACCCTTGCCCCAACACTGTGTGTCAGACATGCCATTATTTCCTTTTGCACAATCGAGTACAGGTTGGGGATTGCCTTTTGTGAAAATAAATTTCATCCGGGTACCAGTGAGTGAGTGGTGGCACTGGGCACAGTATCCACTGTGAGCCTGACACACCTGCTGGCAGACAACTAACTTCTATTCAATCTATAACAGTGAAAAAAGTATTTTGTTTTTAAATGCAAGCTATTGTGACACCAGTGAGTGAGTGGTGGCACTGGCCTCAGTATCCACTGTGAGCCTGACACACCCGCTTTAAGGACACTGACTGCTATTCAATCTATAACAGTGAAAAAAGTTTTTTGTTTTTAAATGCAAGCTATTATGACACCAGTGAGTGGTGGCACTGGGCACCGTATCCACTGTTAGCGTAACACACCCGCTTTAAGGACACTGACTGCTATTCAATCTATAACAGTGAAAAAAGTTTTTGTTTTAAATGCAAGCTATTGTGACACCAGATATAAGTGGTGGCACTGACTGGGGAAATGGGCACAGTATCCACTGTGAGCCTGACACAGAAGCTGGCAGCAGTGGCAGACAACTAACTGCAATTACATTACATAGAATTTTTTTTTTTTTAAAAAGCATACCCTAACCCTAACCTAGCTATGCATTTCCCTATCTAATCAACAGCAGCTACACTTTCCCTCCTCTCACTAAGCATGCAGCTTGAGAATGAATGTAAAATGGATGCCTTCCAGCAGGTGGGAGGGTCTGCTAGGGAGGGTGTGCTGCTAATTGGCTGGAATGTGTCTGCTGACTGTGAGGTACAGGGTCAAAGTTTACTCAATGATGACGAATAGGGGGCGGGTCGAACCGCGCATATGTTCGCCCGCCGTGGCGAACGCGAACATGCTATGTTCGCCAGGAACTATTCGCCAGCGAACCGTTCGGTGCATCACTAATGTGAACCTGTTATAACTCATACAATAACCCATATAATGGGAAAGTGTATACTGTGTGTATAAAACCTAATAAAATACAAATATATAATAAAATAAACTTTCACGTCATCTCAATGATTTAATCTTGGTGCAGTGTCCCTGTTTTTTAAAAAACATTTTTTTTTTATTAAATTGCAATGTTACAGGGTTAAGTCTGTCTCTCATGGCTGTCAGCATGATAAACTCCATCACGTGATGCAGAAGCCCCCAAAGGAAAGCAGTGATTCAAAGGCAAGCAGTGCCGAGAGAGCATTGGGACTGGAACAAACTTGGGGGAAGGGTAGGTACGTGAACACTATAGCGTTAGCGTATATCATAGGTACAATCTGCACCATAGCGGAAAATTGTTCTTCATCCAGACTCAGACAGCACATAAATGACTGGGGACAGCGGCCGGTATTATTTATTTTTGTTTTTTAGACACTCACCTGTTTTACAAATGGAACAAGCTGAATCTTGATAATCTCTATGTAGTTACCCACAAGTGGAAGCGGTGGTGGCCCCGGGGGAAGGTTTCCTCTAACATGCGTATGTTTTACAAACCACAGAAACACCAAAACGGAGACAAGTGCCACAGCAACCAGGACAGGATTCATGCTGCTTAGAGAAGGTTCTGTAAAAATACAGAGGATAAGATCCGTCAACCGCTTTCTTTAGAACATTACCCATATAACAAAACAATTACTAAAGAAGAGTCTCCATAATGTCTGCAGATTTATTGTAGAAAATAACTGAACATGGCAAAATATATACAGCAGTAGTTTGGCCGCTGCTCTGAAGATATATCGCCCCCATACACAAACACACTGCTCAGAGTTCAGAGAAAATGCTGGTCTGAGAGGGAGGTAAACCATTCATATACTTGAGTGTGCCTGCCACTCCTGCTAGCTCAGAGGAGCTAATGGAAACAGGACATAAACCTCCCAGCCTGATTGATTGACTTCAGGGTGTGTTCCATAATTAAACAGCGTTTTAAATAGGATACTTATCACCCATAATGCACTTCAGCTGTAGGTGGAGCGAAGTCCTATAATCCTTGAGATCACAGCGAGGGTGTCAGCTTTCACTTATTGACCATCCCAAACATCAAATGTATCTTCATGTCAGAGGACGTATAGTTTCTGTCATTAGGAGAGGTCGCTCCTCTAATTTGCGGCCCCCTCAGGTTTGTTTTTGTTTGTTTTTTTATATTTATAAATATAGATACAAATAGTTTACTTACAATGTATTCACAATATGCTGCTATGCAAAACTCAGGCCGTGCCACTAACACAGCTTTGTAGGACCCCAAACACTCGCTATTCATTTTATCAATTTGTAGAAACTGGGCAGATTGTCTAATTCCAATTTACAGTAGATGTAGGTTTGTAAGTTTGTAAACGAATGCACGTCTTATTTGCTACTACTCCATGTATGTCTATTGGTCTGTCTGTCTTATTTATTTACACATTCTTTAGCCCCTTCACAAACAGTCTAGTTTCTCTTCTAGCAACCTTAAAACGCAGAAACCCTTTATAACACATACCGCAAGCACTTTCTCCTACTTAACGTTTTCCATCTACTAACATTCTTTGCTCTGTACAAATAACCAAAATGTATAAAAAATATATCCAAACCCTGACAAATGTGTATTATACGGAATTCAAAATTCCATGACACCGTAAACTTTAAACTCAATCCTGGAATCTTTCAACTAAACTATTTCTATTTAACTCATATAAACGTCACCCTTCATTTCAGGAATATTTGCACACATTCATCTTTAAAGGACCACTCTAGGCACCCAGACCACTTCAGCTTATTGAAGTGGTCTGGGTGCCAGGTCCAGCTAGGGTTAACCCATTTTTTCATAAACATAGCAGTTTCAGAGAAACTGCTATGTTTATGAATGGGTTAAGCCTTCCCCTATTTCCTCTAGTGGCTGTCTCATTGACAGCCACTAGAGGCGCGTGCTTCTCACTGTGATTTTCACAGTGAGAGCAAGCCAGCGTCCATAGGAAAGCATTGTGAATGCTTTCCTATGCGACCGGCTGAATGTGCGCGCAGCTCTTGCCGCGCGTGCGCATTCTGCCGACGGGGATGAGAGAAGGAGGATCGGAGGAGGAGAGCTCCCCGTCCAGCGCTGGAAAAAGGTAAGTTTTTACCCCTTTCCCCCTTCCAGAGCCGACAGGGAGGGGGTCCCTGAGGGTGGGGGCACCCTCAGGGCACTATAGTGCCAGGAAAACGAGTATGTTTTCCTGGCACTATAGTGGTCCTTTAACAATGGCTACCTAAAGACATATCCCCTCATTGTCACCCTTACACACTGCATTCAAAGAAGATCATTATTCTTTAGTTTTTAGTTTATTTTTCAGATCAGTGAATGAGGAGTGTAAATGGTTAATGGGATTCAGATAGACGTTATTCCTAACATAACATAGTTTCATCTGCCTTATTTTAACCTGTGAACATCATTACATGAGCTTCACAAGAATGTTACAATTGCAGTCTGGAAGTCAAGAATCTGGGAATGACGCCCAGGGTCATAAGTTACACTTGTTTTTGCCTATTTTTCAGCTCAGAAATGTAACTTGACAAAACTGAACTATTATAAGATAAATCAAATACTATTATATAGCATGGAATATTAAACTACAAAACTATTATATAAAATGTAATATTAAACTACAAGTATTATAAAAAATAGAATATTAAACTACAAGTATTATATACAATGGAATAATAAACTCCAAATACTATTATATAAAACGGAAGCAAGTTTAACAAAATGGTTTCTAATAATCTATGTCAGCAATCCACTGACTAAAATATTATTCAAAATCTCTGTGTTGATATCAAACATGGTCTACATAAATAAAAAACTGGAAATATCTCATCTAGATGTATTCTCTAAAGCAGTGGTTCCCAAACATTTTAGGTTCAAGGCGCCCTTAATATTTCAATATTTTTCCAAGCTGCCCAAAATCAAAACAATTTTCTAGGTTGTATATATGTACCCCGCTGCAACATATGCCCCAGTTTGGCAGAAATGCTTGCCGTTTAGATCCAGAGCCTAATCTTGGGAGGGGCACTGGCAAATTATTTAAAGAAACAATCCAGGCACAGTAACCATACATTACATTGTAGTGGTTATGGTACCACTAGTGCCCTCCCAGGGTAAGTAGTTAAAGGTTTAAGAACAGTTTGACAACGAACCTGGGGTCTGCCGGGATAGGGGCTGTAGTGTGTGTGTGTGTGTGTGTGTGTGTGTGTGTGAGGTGCAACATATGTGTGTGTAA